TTGGGAACTTAAGAGCTTGGAAACTTGATATCTTGGAAATTTGATATCTTGGAAACTTAAGAGCTTGGGATCTTGAGAGCTTTGAAACTTGAGAGCTTGGAAACTTGAGAACTTGAAAACTTGATATCTTGGAAACTTGAGAACTTAAAAACTTTATACCTTGATAACTTGAGAACTCCAAAATTTAAAAACTCATAAAAATTTAAGACTCTGGAAGTCTCCTCACTCCATCCATAAATCTCCCAAACCCATCAATCCCCACATCCACGAACCGTAAAACCACAATCATCCTGAATGTCACTATGTTTAATTCATGTACCCACAAGTCAAACAACATCTATTTACACCTGTAAAACCAGTTCCCGCTCAACATTATACTTAATTGCCCACCTTGATCATTTGCATCTGCACAATATTAGTCTGAGAGTTGCAAAAGTCTATTATAAAATCGCATACTTTCGAACGAAAATCGTGCAACAATCTCAGGACATTTCCTTAGTTCCGTGCTGTGACCACCGGGTTAATGATAATCGATTAGTATGAGGCGAAAGGGGAGAAAAAGTCGATCGTTGCGAAATAACAACACGATCGAATTCGCGTTGTACGAGAGGCCAACATTCTTCCGTTTACTCCAGCGTTCGAGGTAGGGGAAAAAGTTGCCCTCGCCAATTTCTACGAATTTTTACTACGCCATTAAGAGCGGCGAAAGTTGCGAGAGGCGATCAGCGTTAGGCTCCGAAATCCTGCGATCCGTAACAAAATATGCGAACAAGTACTGCTTGCAGGCTTGATACGATCGTTGTACCGATGTCAACCCACGAGTTGGTCAAAGTAAAAAAAGCACCGTGTCTTCCATTTCGGCAAATAAGAATAACAACTGCAATCTCACTCACTCTCGAGACGTTGCCGACTGTCATTTGGAGGTTAGAAAGCTTTGGAACGAGATTCGAAGTTTTGAGATCGTTTCGAAATTTGGAGCTTTAGTTTCAGAAATTTTAAATATTCGCGCTTCGGAATTTGGAAGATCGAAAGTTAAGAAGGTTGAATGATTTTGGAATGATCGAAATGTGCAGAGGTTAGTACTTTCAAAAACTGGAATTCAGGAAGGGACTTAAAGTTGAAACTTTGGGTGATTCGAACTTTGGAAAGTGGGGACTGGAAGGTTAGAATTTTGCGAGGTTGGGACTTTGAAGGTTGGAACATAGGGAAGGTTGGACTTTGGAAAGTTGAAACAGTGGAAGGTTGGAACTTTGAAAGATCGAACCTTCGGATGATTCAAACTTTAGAAGACTACTTTGGACGGTTGAAACATTGCATGCTGGGACTTTGGAAGGTCAGAACTTTGGAAAGTCGAAACTTTGCAAGGTTGGATCCCTGAAAGGGACTATCAAAAGGTGCTTTAGAAGGTTGGAACCTTGCAAGGTAACTTTGGAAGATCAACTTTGGAACGTAAGAACTTTGAAAGGTTGGAACTTGAGAAGAATTGTGCGACCGCTCGAGACGGTACCACCGAAAATACGTGTGGCGTCCATTTTCTATTCGAACCAATCGTGATTCTTCTAACGCCAGCCTCTCGCGCGCCAACTCGTGGGTTGACATCGGTACTTCCAATCTTGATACGATCATTGTACTGTTTCATGGAATGGATGTTGCAACTTTAATGCGCTTTTTATGCCTCCTTTGCACGGGCAATTTAGGGGAATTTCTTAGGAGTTTATTAGGGCTGATGATGGCTGAAATGATTTGTGGTGAATGTTTGATGATGGATAATGGAGA